CAGCAGTAGTAGTAGTAGTAGCGGCACCAGCAGCAGCGGCACCAGCACCAGCACTAGCAGCAGCACTAGCAGCAGCTGCAGCCGCAGCCGCAGCAGCAAGAATAGCAAGAAGACCAAGAAATCGATGCCTGCTCCCTCCAATCAGTACCAGCACCGGTGCTCGGACTACTACCAACAACTGCTACTACGACGACGGTGACCACCACAACCACCACCACGGAAAGATAGTGATCCTGATTTACTGCGCGGGTTCCCAGAAGCAGGCAGATGTTGTTTTAGGATCCAGAGGCTCGAGCAGAGGCCCAGCTGCTCCTTAATGCAGAGAATATGTGAATAGCTGAATAGCTCATCTCGGATTGATATCTCAGATAATTTGGATATTTTCCGACATAGCCACATGATCCAGGTTATCCTGGACAGCCCTCGCCCTTCTTCGCCACGGGCACTCGACCCAGAGGGTTGTCGGAACCTTCAATCGACTCGAGATCCGCCTGACCTGCCATTTGAGCGGGTCTTCGCTTCGTCAAAGTTGTTTGCTGGGGTAGCCAGCTGAGTTAGTTCTTCTTCTGGTTCCGTTTCTCCTAGCCATGTTCAGCAGCTCCGCTTCTTGCCAGGGATCCTGATTGGAACGCCCCCGAAGATCTTGGTGAGAGCACGATCGTATTTCTCCGTACTGCTGTTCTGAATCTTACAGTATCTACAGCAGACACCCGCTTTCATATTTGCTACCCTATGGAATCATGGCGATTTTGCTCAATGCATTGCAGCATCTCTGAGGTCATCACCCGGGTGGCCCGGCAGTGAGGGCACTTGAGGGATGGGGAGAAGGGGCTTTCCATTGGCCTTTCTCTGCCTTGGGCTTTCTCTGGTGCGAAGCTTCCTTCAAAGAGTTCTAATCTCTCATTCGCGAAGAAAATACGACCTCTTCGAACGTTTTGCTGGCGCAGCGCTGTATGCAGCAAAGCATCGCCGAGTTCACTTCTGATCTGCGTTTCTCTGTTTCTGAGTCTCACCAGAACCAGGCAGTGACGCCCTCGACGGCGCGAACATCGGCGCTGGAGGAGTACGGGCCTCAGCTCAAGAAGAGCTTCTAGCATTTCAGCTCGTCGCTTGTAGTCTCCGCATAGCAAAACATCAACTCATCGCCTTCTTCTGGCGGCTCCAAGCCAGGCGCCTGAAGGAATTAGAGAAGCGCTTGGACGCCAAGGAGACCGAGCGCCTGAGCCCGGAAGTCGCGTCTTTCGTGGGAAGTTTCGAGGATTCGTCGAGGGTTCTGGCCCAGGCTTGCCAAGGTTCGATTTAACATAGAGAGATCACCCTGGACCCGGGATGTTTTGGTTCGGGAAGGCTTCCAAACCAAGACAGGCCTGCCCTTCAGCTTACGGTAGAAGCCCATTTTGGGGATGAGGTAGAATGCAAAAACTAGTTTCTGTGTACACGCAGAGTGCCGTTTTCTGTTCCACACGAGACTTTCATGTGTTGGAGCATATGTGGCATGTGCAGAGCAGCAAATGCATCATACCCGAGATACACTTATGTGCTGAAGAAGTCCTTGCAGATCTTGCACCGTATGCTCACGTTCGGGAAGGCTTCAGTTCAACTTGATGCTGTGGAAGTGTTGTCTATGTAGGTGCTGCGGCAGTAGCTGATTTGGTCGGTGGTGCCGGAAGCCTGAAGTTCTGAAGCCAAGCCTTGCATCTCTGCTCGAGCCGTAGAGGTGCAAGTTGCTGGAGCAGCACTTGATCGAGGCCAGCTTTTCTTGTGGAAGGGCTGCAGCAGCAAGTCGTGCACATGCGTTGCAGGTGAGAGGTTGCTTGGAGGAGCAGCGCGAGCGTCGGAGCCACGGATGTCGACAGAGGGCGCGATCGTTCGGCAACCTCTTCTTCAAGTGGTGCAACTAATTATTGCCTTTACTGTTGGTTCTCTCCGGATGTCCGATCTCAGGCGGTGCTCACGATCTGGAGCAACGCGACCTCCACATCCAGGACGTCTCTGCACCTCGTGCTGTCTGATGCGGCTCACTGAAGCTCCTTGCGCTTGAATATGCGTTCAAAAGGAACTCAGCCGCCGCAACAATGACCTCATTAGCGCTGCACAGGGTTGTCTGGAGGCATCGAGGGCGAGAAGCATCGATGTGTGGCAGAATTAATGGAAGAGTTTAACGGTTTCAGCTGTCGTCACAGAAGTGTGTTGTTGACAGGTAGATTCCGGGTGTTTGCATTTATTGGCCGTCGTGCCTGGGGTGAGTCTTCAGAACCTGCCTCGGGATATGTGATTGCTGGTTTGTGTCATGAAGCCCCACTCATGCAGAAATTGTTGCATCGGCAATCCTGAAGCCTGAGTTGCTTAGTGATGGCGCACAAGTCTTGCTTTCACTGTTGCCCTAGACCGCCGGAAAGAACTGTCTGCAAGGCTGTGTCCATGTGTCAGCAGCGATTAGGGATGGCGCTGATGCCCAGCTTGCAATGCGATGCGACAGGTGGTGGATGGCCCATCGGCAGTGGACGAAGAGGGTGCTCCCAAGGCCCACAGCGTGACTTTAGCCCCTCTCATGGTCTGAAAGCCTGCAGGCCCTCGACCACTCGTAAGGGTGCAAGATCTTTGGTTTAATAGCCTTATCAGACAGAATTTATGCCTGAAGGCTTCATGACTTCAGAATCGATTGCCAGTTTTGGTTTCCGCCTTGTGTTTTCATGTCTCAGGAAAGTTGATTGACTCGCCCCATTGGGTCACAAGTCAGCGAATGCGTCCATCGTCGGTTAAGGAAGATCCAACACAGAAACTAGCCGGCTCTTCTGGCATCTACGTGCTTCGTTTATTATCTATGTGAGCCGAGTATCGACCGCTTGAAACCTCGAATGCATGTCAGTTGCAAGACAGCACACCCCGGCAAGAAAGGCACCACCATCACCGGAAGCGGCTTCGGATGGGGCAGGTGCCAAGATGTGCCAAGTAATGCCATTTTTCAGTGTTCGCGCACGGGCGCTCGCGGCGAGCGGGCGTCTGCTTTTGAGCCGTGATGGCGCCAGGGCCAGGAAGCAGCGCTTCGCGCCAGAGAGGCCCCCGGAGCCAAGGAGAGAAGCGAAAGCTAGGAAAGCCTTCTGTGAATCTTGAAGTGTCTTCTGGGACTTTCCACCCCCTCGCGAGGTCGTCTCGGTCCCGAGGCCGGGGCGCTTCGGAGTGGAGTCGAAGTGCGATGAGGATCTGCTAGCTTGCCAGCTGCGCAGCCTTTGACACCGAAAGGCTGAGCGGGACATGTCGTGGCCTCTGAAAGTCTTGGGCCGTCTTCGGGGACAGAGATGGCGGCTCTGTTTGATTCGGGCAATCTGGAAGAGCATTTTGGAGCTCCAGGCCCACCTTGGCGGCGCTTCGGCAGCGCCTGTATCCCAAGTGGGGACCTCGAAGAGTCACTGGACAAAAAGAGGTTTAGGGAAGCCGTCGCCACAGTCGCAGAGCTCTGAGGCGCTCCCGAGCTCCGCAGGCTCCGCAGGCTCCACAGGCCGCAGCCTGCGATCTCCCTTAAGTGACATCTCCGGAAAGCTTTGGAGCCCAGGAGTCGGCCCCCGACGGGCCCGGCGAGCAGAAGCTGGAAAGGACCAAGCATTGCGAATCATTGCCCGTTTCATCCGCATTCCGTTCACGTCAATGAAGGCAAGCTGCACATTCCTTCTGAGTCTCAGGACGACACGCCCAACGCCGCGGCCCAGCACGGGTCGTTCGGCCCCACGGCGTGAGCGAGAAGAGCGTGAGGAGTTGGCAGCTCAATGGGACATAGACACGGCACACATGATTAGGCAGAGTGTCTGGACTCCAGCCACACCCCAAGTACCTACCACCTACAATGTCCTGCGTGCTTCTTCACATGGAGTACAGGTACACATTGCATGCCTTGCAAGATAGGGCCGCTTCTTCAGCTGAGTCTTCTGCAGTGGTTACTGGGGCTGTGTCGCATGTGTGAACCGGGCGCATTTCCGTGTGCAGACTAAGCACCCAGAGCGCGTGATGAGACGACCTTCAAACCGGATCACCAGACTGAAGCGGTCCAAGTCGCAAGCAACACCCCTCCCAGTCTCAAGGCCTGGCGAGAAGTCTGAGAAGCCCAGAGGCGTCCCAAGGGGTCCAGGGAGCAGGGCGGGGAGGGCGGGGGCGGGTGTTCTTTGCTGTTTTCTGCCAGATCTCTGTGGCGTCTGCTATCAAGAATCGCGACTGACTCATGCCCGCGTTTTGGTTCAAGGGAGGCTCTTTGAAGTTGAGACTCAGCTGCAGGTGCAGCTTATGGAGGCTTCGATTTATTCGTTGGTGACTGGCGAGGGTGCCATGGTGCTGTTCAACGTGCCTTCACCAGAAGACATCCCCTGGCCCAACAGGATTGCGCCTCCTCCGTCTGCCCCCAGTTCCGACGACGAGTCTCAGCAAGACCTCGATGTTTGGCTTGGCCCGAGCTCCACCCTGCCAGGCAAATTGTCCGGCCGGGAAGCTAGGCTGAAGATGTCGCTCGAGAACATCAGCTCATGTGCCAGCCACCTCAGCTCGCGGCATTGTGTACGACTCAGTGACTATCTCCGTTTAAAGCTGAGTCCGGCCGCAGAAAAGAAAGGAGCAGCACTCCGACCCCAGCTTTCATTCGGAAGCGCTCTCCATGTCGGCGATGGTGTCAACGCCCTGTGCAGGGTCTGCAGCGGCTTGCTTGCAGGCTCCCACTTGTGCAAGCATGGTTTCTGCATCTCTTGTCATACCGAGGTTTCCACAAGCCGCCACTCCGCCAATGCTCGAAGGGTGCATTTTGCGACTACTGCCACCTGCATGATGGACGGCGCAACAGACGCCGGCGGAGCACGCGGGAACCTGGCTATGCAAAGAAGCCAGTCACAGGGATTTTGTGGCAGGGGTCCCTTAACTACATTGCATCGTGATGTAGAGAACCCTCAAACCAAAGAGAATGCAAACTGTTTGGCAGAGCTTGAAACCGAACACCTCGAGAGACAGCGATGACTGCGTGAGCACAACCCGGAAGGACCGGTCGGGAAGAATGACATGGGAAGACACTGAGATCCAGGTTCTTGACGGAATCAGTTTGTGATAGCTGCAATCCAGCTGAGACGTCCTCCGTGCTGTTGCAGCTACCCCCCCCTACCTGAATTCAATCAGGGTATGTCGCCGCCGTCGGCATGCCTGACCACAGGAGCTTTTAGTCCCCCCAGTTGGCCCAAGCCGAGGCTAAAGGGCCAACGATTCTCGTTGTATTTCATGTCTACAGGACATGTCGAAACTCTATATCTCACAATATCTCGCACAATCTCCGCAAAAGGTTGATGTGGAGTGGAAGTGCAGCACGCGTGATAGGATCCCGTCTTCGACTTGATTGAACGAGGTCCACACAGTGCCAATTGTTTCACAGATGGTGCTTTTCATGTACAGGTTTGCGGCACTTGCCACAGGATCCCGGGTCTGTGCAGTGCCAGATGTTTCACCGTCCGTGCCGCTTGCATACATGGACATGGACAGTGGAGCATCGTTTTGGGTGTACAAGGCAGCTTGCTGTTGTGAAAATGCAGCGAGTTCCACACACACACACACACACGAGGAGCAGTGTTGCTTAGAACCGGGATTCAATCGTGTCAACATAATTACCTACTTCTTGATAAAGCCGATGCCGTGTTCCTGTCAGTCGTTGCTGCCTGGCATATCGTGTGAAGCATCGTATGGTCGATCATTCAGGATGATACGAACATTCCCTCCATCGGTTTGCAGTGGACCCAACCCGAAGCACCAGCACCACAGCTTTGCTCTGCCAGATCAGCGGGTACCGCCGCGACGAATGACATGAGCCCGCCTTGGCGACTGTCCCGAAAACTGGCCTGATCGGACTCGGATAGAGTTGTGGGGAGGCCTGGTAGGTTTTCTGCACAAGTTGTTGCTAGCTTGCGGCCGCGTACCTCACCTCGACTGCAAGTGCCGCCGGTGCAGACCCGCTGATCTGTTCCAAAGTGTCAGAGGCTAGCAGCGTCGTGGCTAGAACAGTCCGTTCTGCACAGCATTGGAGCTCGCTAGAACCGGCTGATGCTGAACCAAGGTAAGTAATTGATCAGGCCCAATGCAAACCAAGACCAAGCACCAATGGCGCATGCTGCTTGCATGTCTGCTATGTTTTCTTGATCTTGAAGTGCGCTTGCTTTCCGAGCATGACCTTGTATTGTACGGACTGTACGGTTCACTCTGCAGACCAGCGGGCTCAGAGGCAGCTCGCAGCCTCTTTTCGATAGCGAACCCCTCCTGTCCGAACGAGGCGCTGGCGCAAGCGCATCAGACCCTCTCCTAGAGTCCTAGAAAGATCTGACTGCGCGCGTTGCAGGCTCCGTGTACATATCTCTTGGATCCATGGTGCCTCCAAGCTAAGCTCGAGCTGCGCTCTGAGCTGCCTCTGCTTCGTCGCCCAGTGCCAACTCGACATGGACTGCACGTGCTTCCCAGGCAGGAGAACTCCACCTGCTTCACAGACTTCACGGTTTCTGGCATCATGAACGTTAAACCTGGAGTGGCTGCTGTTTTGCTGCTGGGCGCCAAGATGCTCCAACAACCTAAGAGCTCAAAAAGTGTGTCCTCTCAAGCTCTCGCGGTACCAGCATGCCACAGCTTCGAGCGCCGCCGAATCAAGCACCATACTTGATTTTTTTCAATGAAAAAGGCGGTAAGACCACCGACCCATGCAGTGCCGCCGTCTGAAAAGGGGGGCCGGGGCCCTCTTCTCATCGCGTCAGGCATCATGTCTTCTTTCGCCGCCTTCTCGTCATCCCTTCTGGGGTTTATGTTTTTCGCAGACTTGTTTTGCTTTTTTCCTTTCAGGGCGTGGGATTCGCGCTCCCTTCGCACGCCTCGGGGCAGGGCTGTCGTTAATTGCTTGTCCTCGTGATTCGTTGGTTCGAACGCCCTGGGCGAATCTATGTGTACTTCCGCACACCAAATCGTGCGCGAAGCCGCTTGGGTCACTGCGCGAGATGCTGGTGCTCGAATCTGGCAACAACTTCAGTGCACGAATCCGAAGCGCCGGTGCACGAATGCCCGGCACATGAAGCTTTGTCATTGTCTTGCACGCATATCCAGTCTTTCCCGTGCCGGTACACGAATCGGTTCCTTACCTACGCACGATTCCGTGATGGGGGTCGTTGCAAGAGCTGATGACTCCCAAAATACGGCTTCTGAGGACACAAGCAATTGGTGCCATCGGCAACATGGTGCCGTCCCCAACTCGACACGCCGAGAAGCTGTGTGCGCCGTGTTTGCAGAGCCCACTTCGACATCGCAGGCAGTGCTGCCGGTGCTACCTTTCTTCGCAGGGGACCCAGCTGCCCCTCCTCCGTGAGGATCGTGCCGAATTTGGTGCAGGGAGAAGCAGCCTTTGTGCTCCGAGTTCCGGGATCTTGGCCGACGTTTGGAGTTCACGATAGAAATCAGGCTGTGCAACAGCTGGGCGCATCAGCTTTGGAGGCTTGGTGCTTGGGGCGGCGGGTCGAGAGAGAGAGAGAGAGAGGGGATGCGCTTCGGCGCGGGTTAGGAGGTAACTCCTCCTGACTCTAACCCCTAGCAAAGCAAAGGAAAGAGAGAGAGAGAGAGAGAGAAAGAAGGGGCTTGACACGCCCTCTGAACCCCGAAGTGAAGTGAAGTGAAGTGAAAGAAAGAGCCTGCCGCCGCTTCTTTCTGCCGTTTCGACCGTGAACCGGGCCCAAGGCCAAGAAACACAGCCGCAACTCTCTCCGCCAGTCTCAACCAAAGCTCCCAAATCCAGTAAGACTAGATCAGACAAACTGGAAGGTGGCGCTGCTGGCTTCGTGTTTCAACTTCACGTGGCTTCTCAGCATTCTGGCGTTCCTTGGGGTCAACTTCGCATTCCAGAGCCCCAAAACTGGAGCGCTCATGGCCCCTTGCTGTCCTCAATTGGTAGGTTCGGGTCCACTTGCAGCGACTGCCCTCACAGCAAGTGTTCGTAGCAGTGAATACAGATCCAGTCATTGTAGAGGCAGATGGTCTTCGCCCCCTGCGTCGGTGCGATCTCGGACCATTTCGGGCGGAAGTATGCGAGCCCGGCAGTTCTTGCCGCATGGAACTCTGCAGGCTTTGAGCTTGTGCTGATGTGATCACTTGAGGCTCTGGCAGTCTGAAAGCTTGAGAAGGGTGATTCGCAACATGAACTCCCAGCGGAGGGGCTTTCGAGGGCTGCATCTGTGAAATGCCGATGAACCTTCGAAATACACTCGCAGCTGCCTTGCGCCCGAGGGAAGAGAAGATCGTTCTGTTTTAGTCTGCATTCCTGCTTTTCAGACAACGGATCCGTTGAACACGGGTAGTGGGTGTTGCTCGAGTCTGTTCCGGTTATGCTTCGCCGACGTTCTGTATTCCGTGGGCAGCAACAGAATCTACTCGGGCCAGGTGATGCTCGGGGGCCTCTTGCTGCAGGCCCGGATCCCTCCGCACATGAAAGAGAACGAGAGCCGACTAAGCCTACAGCCTAAGCCTATCCGCCCGGAACAGCGTAGCATCTAGCACGCAGCTCCTTTTGTAGGTGTTCCAGAGAGGGCTCTTCTCTACAGCAAGCGCTTTCCCTTGACAGCAAACCTTTCACCCTGGACGGATGTTGTCGCGGCCCAGGCCTTATCGAATTCTTTTCAAGCAGAGGCCGACTCTCCTGCAGCCTGGATCTCAGCTTCTCCACGTACCGGCGTGGGCATCCGCTCACTACTTAAGTCTTGCCCCCCTTCGGCCTTTCCCAAAGGACCATCATCCACCAAAACTAGACTTAGATCCCCAACGCCAGTTTGCTCGCTGGAGACTTCTGCAGCCAACGCTTGACCAAGTAGGTTCGCACGTTCACTCTGCGAGGCGCTGCTGCTGGCTCGGGTGCGCCCGTGCCGGAGTGCTTTGCAGCGAGAAACCGTGGGGATCCTTCCTTGATCCTTCCGCTGCCTCATTGAGGGCTTCGTGGGCTTGGCGACGAGCACCGGTCCGGTCGAGATGGCCGGAGAGGGAGGGGGGGGGGGGGGCGCGGGGGGCACTCCGCTTTCAACGGCCATATATGGCCCGTTCCCTTCTTTGGGGAGGCTTACATCATGGACTACACGCGCGACGAGCAGCAGCGGCGAGCCAAGAAGCTTTTTGTTGTCTTCGGAATTTTCCGGAGCAGAAGCGCTCGCGTTGGCTTCCACCACCCTTCTCTTGCACTTCCCATGGCATGGTTGCAGAGAGCTCTGTTGCACGAGCCGCCCAGGCTTAGCTATGTCCTGGCCTTGCAGAGAGTGGTTTGCAACGGCGGCGCCGCTTGCTCGAAAGCTCGAGAGCCGTCCCTTTTTCGCAGACGCGGATGCCCCTGCCTGCTTGAGAGAATTAGAGGATTAGAGCATACCCCAGCCTTTTCCCTGAAGAATGAAAAAGGTTGAGGAAGTTCAGGCAAGTCAGGCAAGTCTCCGACGCTTTCGCTGCGCCCTTTGCAGGCGCTGCTGGGCCCCGTGCTCGCGCACAGCTTCCAGGGCCCGGGGCCCGAGCCCGCCAGCTAGCGCGGGGTCCGTGGTGCGGGTCTCTCCGTGAAGAATGAGAGCGACGGCCGAGGCTACGGCTTTCCGGCCTTCTGCCGAGGCTTCGCCTGACGGGGCCTCAGATTCCGAGGGCTGCCGCTGTTTTGGTTTGCTTTTGCACTGGGAATTTGCCCGCAGGCATCAACTTGCTTTGCCTTTTTTTGGGATCCCTGCTCTGGGAGAACTACTCGCAGCCAGGAGCTTACAAGCCTTGACGATGTTCCCATAAACGCGTTCTTGCTTCTTGGACGGCGCTTTGGCCAGGTCGCTCCCTGACGAGGCGCCGAAGCGCAGCGCTCGGCTGGAGCTTGAAAGCGGCCCCAACTTGCAGGCATGTGGATCCACTCCGCTGAGCATTCAGCGCTCCAGGCAGAGCTGGGCCACGAGTCAGGAAGGGAAGAAGGAAAAGAAGGGTTTCAAGCCTCCGCAACATGAGACATGAAAATGCGAGGACTCACGGCCTGCGCAGAAGAACGGAAAGTGGGATGTGCACCTTGTGCAGGTCAGACCTCTCCAAAAGTGGACAAGGCAAGAGCATCGCGTGACGAATTCAGAGCTGTAGTTGAACAGCAGTGGTGGTGATGGCATGGACATCGCACGGTCCATGCTGCATGTTCTGCAACTGCTTTCTCGGGCGGGGAGCAACCGCTTGGAGCCGCTGTCCAGTTCTAGAAGGCTTCGAATGCCAACTGAATTGATTGGTGTTGAATGGGATTTGTCTTCAAGCCTGGATAGGTGGACTGTTCGACCTGCCTCATGACTTGTGACCATCGTTGCGCCTTCTTCAGCCAGGTCGCATTCCAGGGGAGCACTACCTTGCTGTGCCTCGACTGGGCACTCGTGGGACTGCATAACGGCGTAGATGGTCGGTTTGTTTAGGGAAGCGCGTCAATCGAATGACTTCGCTATTCTTCTTTGTTTGCCTATTGGCGAATAAGTTCAAGAGAGAGATGGCATTCCGTACGAAAATGCCGTTGCAAAACGACGGCACTGGAGACGGTGCAAAACCGCTCCAGGATAACTTCTGTTTGATAGGGCCTTTGGTTTCATCTCGGAGGGGGGTGTCCCACACCCTGTTGCAGGTCCTTTGTGAAGAAATGTACCGAAAGGCAGCGCCTTAACAACAAGGGTTTGTACAAACTCTATCCATCTATTTCATGCAGCTGCTACTCACTTATGATGAAGCCCACCTATCGGCAAAGGGTTGGACCCCTTGAGCTGGACGGCCCCCATCCGAGAAAATTATAGGAACATGGAACCCACTGCCAAGTTACATGCAGTGATCACGAACAAGCCCGGAGTTCGAAAGGAAGCTTCCAGATAGCTTCAAACCTGAACTCTGAGGTGCTGTTCCATGGGGGTGTTTGCTACCTGCTTGGGGTGCTTTGGCTGCACCCCCACACGGTTCGCCTAGCTTCGGAAGTGTCCACTTCAGCATCGAAGTAGTCAGGGACTCCTTGGGGCTTCGCTATCGGATGAAACTCGCTGTGCATTTCAATGTTCGTCCAAATCATCTCAGCCTTTACTCGATGTGCATTGCAAGGTTTGTAGGATTGTGGGGATTCGTACCGGTGGGCCGCACTTCATGGCTTGAGTAGGAGAGTGAGAGCGTGGATCCTGCCAGCAGAGACCGCTTGTACTTGGTCGTCCAGAAGTCATCGCTCCGGGTGCCTTCCCAGGCATCCTTCGGCTTCAGCTTTGCCTTGGGTGTCAGCTCCGGCCTCAACCGGAAACTGGGGGTTCTTATGCACAGTACTGGTATCCTTGCATCTCTCCTCCGGCACGTGTGCTCCAGCTCTTTCGCACGGCCTTGGGCCAGTTGCAGTTCCGTAGCTTCGGAAGGACCGTTCTGGCCTGCAAGGGATCTTTTCGAATCAGCAAGCAGCCGACGCCACTGAGGTGAGGGCCCCGAACCGCTGTTTTTGAAGGTTCGGGGGAGTACGCTGTGCTCTCCTTTGCGGCAGAGCTCGCTTCTTGGCCAGGAGCGCTACTTCTTTGGACAGACCGAGTTTGGTTGGTTCTTCATGGCCCTGGCACCCAGAGCTTCGACTCCGAAGGGCCAAAGGGGGCCCAGACCGATCTGAAGCGAGGTCTCGAACGCCTCGACCTTGATGTGGTCTCCGGTGATCCCCATGTCGTCGGCTCAGATCTCCACGTGGCCATCTCCGCATCTCCCAGCTTCAGGGCATTGCAGCAAGGTAAAAGGACAGGCAGGCAAGGGACAACGGAATGAAACAAGAGCAAAGCAAGCCAAGCCGTACTTGCCAGTGCAGGGAGTAGCTTTTGTTGCTTCGCTCCGATGCTCTGCTCGGAGCCAACTGTGCCCGGAAAGCCCGGACGCCTCGGCATAAGCCTGCGAACACTTACAGAACTCGCTCCCAAACCCCTCAGCCTGACAGGTTTATTTCCTATGTTGGGGCGCGAATAGCGTGCGCCTGTGGCTGCTTGGGTTCTGCCAGCGCCGGTGTCCCAAAAAAAGACTTAGTTGATGTTTCTCGAGGTAATCCCAGGGTGCCCTGTTTCGCTCTAAGGCCTTACTCTTCTTGATCGCGCTGAAGGGGTGCAAGTGGGTGCCATACATCTATGCAGGGTGCTTAGAGGTGCCGGTCTTTTTGGCAGGTTTTAGACGAGCTAGGCCCCCAGAAGGGGGTGAAGAAGCTGCGAACCAGGCACAACGGTTTCGCTCCACAGGAAGCTTGGTGATTGGATTGCATCTGGGATAGACGTGTTTCTCCCAGTTCCATGCCCTGCATCCTTGAGTCTTCTCCCTGGCCTGCGACAACATGCCAGCCTCCGAGGTTGCAGCGACGGTGGGCCTTTTTTCAACGATGGTTGGGCTCGGCTTTATGGGTGCCGGTCCCAGGTGCCGAGGATGTTTCATATGCCATCGCCCTGCTTCCATGATCATGACACTGCGACTGCATCCTCGGACCGCTTGGCCTCACTCCGTGCCCGCTCGTCTTTGAAAGGTTCAAGATCAGGCATCCCCGCAAGACTTTACTAGCTTTACCTCGTCCGAAGGTTAGCTTCTGAGCACACCTGAGCCCGTCTGTCCGAACTGGCTACATACAACGTACCTACGCTTGCACTCCGCTGACATAATAGCCCAGCCTACGCTCGCGACAACCTCGCAACCCATCATCAACGAAAGCACGATAGCTCCCCACCATGATCCGACTTTGCTTCGGCCTTCTTCTGACGCCTGCCTATGCTGCCTTCTGCCCGAAGGGCCGCATGGCAAAGGAACATAGATCCTCAGTTCGTTTTGCTGTTCTTATCACACTACTCCAAGGAAATTGTCGGCTGAAGCTTTTACATTCACAGTGGAAACATGGTCTGTTCAATCAAGATTTACTTTTGATTAAACGGTTGGGCAGCGCAGCGCTGTGGCAAGCGCAAAAACGTCGGATGACGAAACCATAGCCTGTTTATCAATTTTTTTCCAACGACCTGCACGATTCTTTCTGATCTGAAAAAGGGCTTCCCAACTTTACGCACGTCCCAGCTTGTGTGAGGCATGAGAGTCTGCTCATTTCCGGTTTCAAACGGGGCAATACCAAGAGCATGCATTCACGACGCCTCTTCTTGCCTGAGAGTTGTGCCTGCCTGCGACGGTACATGGAACATGAGAAACAGTTAAGCGAGGCCTCGTCGTTTCGGGCACATCAATACAGCTGCAGAGAGAGAGAGAGAGAGAGAGAGAGAGAGAGAGAGCGAGAGACAGAGAGAGAGAGAGAGAGAAATCCGCTGTTGCTTTAGCCCACCTCAGCCACCTAACAAAGGGGGAGGAAAAGTAGCCGTGTTATCCTTTTGCAGTCTTTTGTTGTTACCGCAGCCCACCCCCAGTAGTAAAGAGGCCCTGGAGTTATGTAGCCACGATTGAGGGGGGAAGGACCAGACCCCGTACTGATGACCTGCAATGTACTGTACCTATCCTGTGCTCTTGGTTTGAATGTGGGGGAACTGGCCTTCATGTAGCACTACGAATCTAACCTGAACTGTTGTACACCTTTTAGTCAAGGAAGGGGGGACGTGTCGCACCTGTAGTCGTGACCTGCACAGTTTGATGTTGTCGTGAACTCAGTTGTTGTTTTACCAGCAAGGTGCTAACCTCCCATAGTAGCTACAAGGGACAGTAGCACTCTACCTTTCAAACCAACCAAGGGAGTGAAACTCCTCCCAAAGACCCCAAAGACTCATTCCACCAACAAGGAAGGGATGGGGCGGCCTAGGCCCAAGTCTGCGCTCGTGCAGACTTGTCCCCAACGGAAGGAAGGAAGGAAGGCAGGAAGGAAGGAAGAGAAATCCGCTGCATCATAGCTCTGGCGAAAAAAAAGAAAGAGACAGAACCAGCTACAGCTGCAGATGCAGAGACAAAGAGAGCTGGTGTTTCCCACCTGGTAGAGAGAGAGTCTCACCTCCAACATATAAAGACCTGCAAGAAGTGGCCGGACGCAACGTGCCAGGCTTCGGCAGCGGATCTTTTCCAAAGGTGTCTCGACGATGCACTCTTTTTTCAAGCGTCTCTATCACCTACAACGAGCATTGACCCAGTGCAACCGTTTGTGTTTATGGCTCTGTCAAGAGTTGAATATCATCGAAAGTTGCGACACGTAAGCTTCTGGATTGGGGAGGGCTTCAGCTTCAACTACCTGGCAAGATTCATAGCGTCAGGGGACTTCTTGTGGTGTCGTGGACCCGTACGCAGCGTGCACCAAAATGGCAGCTGTGCTACTTTCCCATCGTTAGCGTTGGAATCAATCTCATACTGCTGGAAGCAGATATGGCTTAAAGGATGACCGTGGCATGACCTCATTTGTGACGGATTCTGCTGTCGGACAGCGTGACCGTAAGATGGACACGTTGCGAGGAATACAAGATCCCCGCTTGGCCAAACGACTTGTCTTGGGAAGAGAGCGCGCAGCTCCGAACCATTGCGCGTCTTGGTTGCAGCTCGACCTCGACCTTTGGCTGATTCCGCAGGTGCAGTGACACATGTTGAGATCATGTCATGATGTCGCTGCTGGGTACGTCGGGGTCGTTTTGTGTTCGCGGCTCTTCTTCCGCGTGCTGTCTGGGCTGCAGCGGGCAGTGAGTTGTTCGCATCAGCTCTTCACCCAACAGACAAGATGGTGGCCCCGGGTGGCAGTGGCTGCTTGTCACCTGAGAAGACAAGAGGCGGTGAGCGGAACTGCACTGTGCTTGCGGGCGCGGAGGAGTCAGAAACACATTTCGGGATGGAACGGTTTCCGGACTAGACTACAAAAACGGGCTGGGAACCAATCCTGCCAACACCTGCGATCTCAAGGCTTGATGGCTTCAAGCGCGAGAGCCTTAACGAGGAACGCTTGGCTCAGCCTTTTCAGTACGACTCTGCGCAGCTTCCACAGAACGTGAGCTTTTATGCAAGTTCCTGTTGTTGCTCCGATGGCACTGCTGTGTGCTAGTCTTGGAAGTGTTCGTTGATGGCGCTCCTCGGAACACGTGATTGTGTGATTGGCAGACTTCAACCTCCGCACTTTGTCAGGAGTATCTGGAAGGTCCAAATGCAGAGTTCAAGATGCATCTGGATCCGCAAGTTTGGGTTTGGGAAGGGGGTGCAAGCCGAATTAGAGGATTGCTGATAATGGGCGGTTCAGGCGTGGGCGAGTTCCACCGGGAAAGCATCCTTCTACGAAAGACGAACAGTGCTTCAGCAATCTCTGGCAATCGAAGAGTAATGAGTTGCCAGTTTTTTGTGTGCAATCTTCATCCAGTACGTCATACGACTATCTCTTCCACGCTTCCTTGGGGCTGAGACCGGCTTTCCACTCTAGCTGGCATGCCAGACGTGAAAACACTCATGGCTGCAAGGCAGGGTCGTGAGACATACTGGCGCCTGGGCCGAATTGGTGTGGAACAATCTGAATTCAGGACGTCCTCGTGGCTTGTGGAAGCATGTGGCAGTACCTGCTGCGAGCATTGACGGCCTTAGCTTTGTTTCTGATCTTGTGTGTGTTGTACATGTACGCCAGGCGCGCGAGCATGCTTGTATGTCTAGCAGCCTAGCACGGGTTAGACTTCGTAGATAGAATCTGCTTTCGCAGCGTCTTTGACGGACGGGTCTGGCGGCGTTTGGCCTCAAAAGCCGCATGAATGCTCGGCTCCTGAAGGCAAGCCTCGGGCCAGTACTTCATGTATTACTGCCAGCGCTTTCGAAAGTGTCTTGGCCGGAATTCCAGCAAGAGAGACCCGAGGCGCAAGTTTGCACGCCACGCGGCCCACTTGCATGTCCCTGTTGCAAATCTGGTAGAATCTACAGTTGTGAAGGGTGCCGTTGCTTTGGGCTCAGAATCAGCTGCCAGCTTCACGAGATACCGTGTCGCGGTGCAGCGCTGATGGACGTGAAACCCGCGTTCAGGGACGAGGTGAAGGTCCCTGCACCGCAGGATGTGCCGTTTCCCAGGTTCGTGAAACCGCCTCCTGCACGTCCACGTACATCTCGCAGTCGCAGCTCGTCGGCCGATTCCTGCGAACTGCAGATCGTGCTTGGACCTCCAGGAAGACCCGGGAGGCTCAAGGTGTCCGGGGCCAACATCGATTCGATGGTCAACTGCGATAGCAACAGTCTTCGACTCAGCGATTACCTTCGGCTGACCAACCGTCCTGGACCTGAGCTCTCCTTCGGCAGCGCTTTGCACGTTGGCGATGGTGTGAACGCAGTGTGCATGGTCTGCAGTACCCCGTCTGCAAAACTAGAGTGTGCTCTTGAAGCTTGTCTCCGGTTCTGGGGTGTCGTGGCAAATTTCTGTGGTTTCATTTGCAGATGGTGCATGCTTGAGGTCATCACAAGCCTCCCTTGAAGACCTGCAAGAGAGGGGCCTTGTGTGATTTCTGCCACTTGCACGATGGGCGCCGCAACCGACGCCGACGCAAAGCGCAGGAGCTGACTCTAGGAAGCTCAAGGCTTCAGTTTTTTTGCCAAAGGCTGTGCGAGAGCAACCTTTCTTGCAGGACCGATCTGGTCGGATGACCTGGAATGACACCGAAATACCAGTGCTTCAGGGCATCCGCCTGTAGCGCTAAGCACCTTCCGTGCAGAATGCAATGCGGGGCGTCTGGCCTGCATGCCAGAAGAGCATGCAACGCAACAGAACACATGTACTGTACAGTGCAGTTGGCGCGGTTCCGGAGACGGCCGTGTGCGTGCGCATGTCTGCCGTTTGAGGGATTCTTCCACGAGCAGCATGTCGCAACAGCCGAGGGATATGCGATTGGCATGTTTGCTCGAGCAACAATGCAGCCGCACCTCCCTGAAGATATCGCGATTGCGGGAGCAGGATCCTCGCGCCAGCCGATTTCCGACGCATGCCTGCCGTGTGAGGAATCAGTCCCACGAGCGGCACGTCGCCAAAGCTGTGGGTTCGGGTCGTTTACACTGTACGTTTCTGAAACTAGATCAGGTATTGTTTGCTCGAAAAGCCAGCACGGCCACAACTCCCAGCAGAGATCGCGACTGCGCGGGCAGGATCCCTGTGCTAGCCGAATCATTTTTCGACAACAAGCATGCCTGCCGTGTGAGGAACACTTCCACGAGCGGCACTATTTATAACTTTATTAGACATGTTCAGTCCCACGATTTTCATTTCAAGCCTTCCACAAGGTCGCGATAAAGATTTGTTCGTGCTTTGCAGATCTCTCGGCCCTCTGACAGAGTGCGCTTTATGTGCAAAGGTGGCGAATAGCCGAGATCAGTGCCTTCAGCTGCTGGGTAGCAGTTTCATGACCTTGGGCCCTTTCGAGCCTTGGTCATTTCTCTGTGTTTCGCGTCACCTCTAGCCGCTCTAGCCTTCTGAAATCACGGCCTACCCGATCATAAAGCTCTTGCCCGAACAGGGAACAGATCTATGTTGAGGTCAGAACATGGCCGGCGAATGCTACGCTTTCGTGTCAGATGCCCACCCCGACCGGGACATCCAGAACATTTCGCTGCTAAAAGGACCTGGTTTTGACTGCCTTCGTCTCCTGCACATGTTTGAAGCATAGATGCGATGCACATCGTGATTGGAGGGTTCATCGAAGTGGAGAACGGCCAGTGGGTCAACCGGGAGGACTGCACTGCGTCTGTCCCTCCCTCACTCTCTGCACCCCCCAGGATCGGATCTTCAGAGATGTTCGGAGCCCAACTTTGATGTCAGGACGCCGGCGTCTCGAAACTCGGGCGCCTGGGCGACCAGCTCGACGAGGCTCCCGAGGAGGCCCAGGCCCGAAGTACCCACGAGAGAACGGTGCCCGCTCCCGCTGAGTCCTTTTGGTGCTCTCTTGGCAAACGGCTCGGCCGAGCGTGCTTCACGGTCCCTGCTCTCTCTCTGTAAGGTGTCAGGTGCATTTCAGCTTTGGCATGCGGTGATTCTTGTTTTGGGTGGGCTTCAACGGCCTTCTGTGGATGTTCGGTAGCGATTGGGACCCTGAGCGCCTACTTGGAAGGGATCCACCTCAACAAAACAGACTCGACAGTCTGCAAGTCAAGTGAAAGCCAATGCAAGTTTAATCTCTAGCATCTAGCACGGTTTGCCTGGCCTTCACGATTCTGCTGTTGCAGTGAGTTGCCGCGTCGCAGCTTCCACAGGCAGAAGAGGCTTGCGAAGCGACGCAGGAGCAGTCCGAGGACAGCCATCGAACCGTACTGAGACATCCCATGCAGTGGGCTTTGCGACTTCGGAACGCGGGCCTACAGCAAGAGAGTCCCGCTTTGCAGATGCCCTGCTGTCTTGACTGCATCACTAGAGTCGCTAGAGCTTCGCTCCGATCAGTGTTACTATAAACAGGACGGCGAGACCTCGAAATGCCCTGTGATGCCTGTGGTCCACGCCTCGGTGGTCTGAGCCCCCATCGGGCTGGGGCGTGGCCTTGCCAGCCAAGGTGCGCAAAGCCAGGGACAAGGTGGTTCAGGCTCGGTCATTTGTGGAGGTCTTTGTCTATACACATACCCACTATTGTACATACCTGGGAAAAGCATACCGACGAGAAACGAGAGGCACTGCTCGTAAAGCATGTCTCGCTTTCCAAAGAGCTTGGCATCGTGTGGTCTGAGTCCAAGTCCAAGTGTTGTCATCAAGGGCAATCTTCCAAAAGCACAGCATGCCGGGCATCATCCTATTCTCTGAAATTGCCGTAGGATCAGCAGGCATCAGACACAAAATGGATACCCCTAGAGCACCCCTCAGGCAGCAAAAGAAGCAGGAAAGTGGGCCAGGCAGGCGCTTTGGCAAGTCCTGCTCAAGAAGGGTAGCCATGTCCTTGAAGAACTGAAGTTCAAACATGCCCCGCTTTATCTCCATGGGACACAACACCTTCAGCCTCTCGATTCGTGGTGCGAGGGGATAGGGGATGAGAGGATGAAGGGGGTCTGGGTTATACTATATTATATGGGGTTCTTGTGGACCGGGCCCGGGCCTGGATGCTCAGAAGGCGTAAGCGGCGTAGGTAGAAGGAGTTCCAGGGTTTCGGTGCTGGAGGCGGCTTTTCCCCAACTATCTGGGAGCACCAGATGAGGAGGACCAGCTGCAAGTGAACTCATGCACCCCAGGGGCGATAATGAGAAGAGGCAAGATGGAATTTGGTGGAGACTAAGTGCGTATCTCTCGCAATACCTCGTCGGCAAAGTCGACCAATTTCCAGGCAGCTTCTTCTGTTGTAGGCTGCGGTGTGCTCGGTATTCAAACGATTGTATGCACCATTGCGATTGCCACATCTCCGCCCACTACCTCCGTAGACAAGCTTCTTGCTGTGTGCGAGGACATAGCCCCCGAAAAGCAAAATCCGCTCTTTGCTGGAGATGTACCTGCAAAGGCGCGCCATTCGGATGGATGGCTTCGGAGTGCCAACAGCATTCGTAGGCTCTACTAGCACTAGCGTTGCAGATTAATCGTCTTCGAGTGTAGTCGACACGGTATCGGCAGGACCACACTGAGAATAAGGCCGCACGTGAGGTTGCGACACGGAGATCCAGATGCGTTCGTGGAGGGTTCTTTTGTGAAAGCCTCCGCGGTCGATGTTGCATGGGCTGTCGACTCGAATCGCCTTCTGAAATCCCCCCACCACGAAGGGAACCCCCAAACCTGTGTTCCAGTCTGTCAAAGCAGAAGTTCCTACGTTGGGAAGTAGCCAATGAGAAAATGTCCCGTCAGAGCACAGGGCGGCTGCAACTCTCAGACGTTGGACGGCTGCAGCTTCAAGGACCGGCAAGTGGGCTCCAGACAGGCAAAAGGCAAAGGCGCATCTCTCTCTCTCTCTCTCTCTGTAAAATCCTTGCGAACATTGCAGCAACTTGCGGCCAGGCCGGGGCAGGTTGAGTCAGAAACTGCAGTTGACCTAAGAAGGAGCAGTTCTTCATTGAGAAGCAACGGAATGCTTCAGAAGACCAGCGAAAAAGTGCACCGTGGCTATTTGGCAAGCTTTGCGTGCGCTTGGAACAGGTTGAACGTGGAGAGTGACCGACGTTGCTGTTGTTCGAGATCCTACACCTTAAAGAGTGCCCCGTGTCCCCCCGAGCAAGATCGCTTTCCCCCCGAGCAAGATCGCTTTCGCCCAAGGAGCTGCAGCGTCTTGCCCGGATGTACCTCAGCGGCACTGGCCGCAAGTTGAGCTCGGGATCAGTGCGGAGCTTCTGGCCGCGACAGGCTCCATTTGCACAAACAGTACAAGTTGTAAACAGCTAGCACTGCAAATGACGGAGGCTTAAGCTGCTCACACGACCAGCATACCGAGCGATAGGGAGTTTAGACTCGACCTGATGAAGCAAGGATACGTTCGCTCAGCTTCGGTCGAAGCAAAGCATAGAACGGACAAGGAACAATGACGCTTCTTGTCAAGTCGAAGGACGCCTGTATAAGCGTCTTGCAGGCTCATGGTCCGAGGAGGTCCACTGCGCAGTCGAAGTCCGTAAACTTGAAGTTGTTCGCCTTAGGCAAGACGTTGTCATGAAGCCAGACCAGAAGGATTGGCTGATGTGACCTGGCCTTTCCAGGAAAGAGACCTCTGCCTCCAGAGATTTCATTCTGCTTCGCCAAGGACCCGGGTTCGAATTCTACAAGAGCTCACGGCCAAGGATGCCTAAGGCAAGCACTGGGGTGGCAGAGTATGAACAGAAGTAGACTTGAAGTGTGTCGAGCAGTCAGTCTGAATCGAGGTTTCTAGTCGCTCACGCTCTTGAGGGGTCTTGGGCTGATGCCGAAAATCACGTCTTGTCTTGTGGTGCTTTGGCGTCCCTGTCTGTGACAAATCTTTGAGAGGCTTCCGAGGCTGAGTTGCGTCTGGACAGCGGCAGCGCCAGGGAACTCCTGGGCCTGTGAGCTCATGCAGGGTCTTGGCCGGAGAGTTTACAGGCACTAGGCTGCGGGTTCCGAGAGTCGTTTGGACATTCCAGGCAAGAAGAGGTAGACTCCTTCACATCGCACGCAGCTGCAGCCGGAGCAAAAAGGTGCAACTGTCGAGTGCCTGCGCCTGTTCGAGAAGTTTGTATGTGGCGGCGCTTGAAGGAGACGAGCGATTGAAAGAAGGACTGCTAGTAATGACACTGAACAGTAGTCGAACCTTTGGGTTGCTGCTAGTACCACACGTTTCTAGCTACTGCCTGTAAATGAAAGACGGTTCCTCGAGCCTGTGTATTGAAACTCATCTTGCAATGCTTCAAGCGGTCCTCGACAAAACTCTACCCGTATGATTCTGCTCGGCTTGTCGGTGCCTTCTGGTCATTCCCACCGCTCAGGTCTCGTGAGCAAAAACTGCCCGCGACATCTTCTGGGAACAATGCTGGGCCTTTGCCTCGGAAACAGGTCCTGCCATGCCGCGTCGACCATTCTGCGGCTGGAAGATATTGTGCTGTGCGACTGGGCAGACGCAATTCAGAGGATGGAGTGCCAAGCATCTGCAAAGGCGCAAACAGCTTTGCGCCCAAGGTCTCAAAAACGCCTTGGACGGCATGGCAGGCACGGCTGCGCCAGCCGCTGCCTGGCTTCAGAGAGTGTCTCTTTCCCCTCATGCGGTCTTTCTCGCGATTTTGCCTGGAGGCAGGCGTTTTCGTTCTCCCACAACAGTTGTGAGTTCATGACCCATCGCACATCGCATTGCTTCATGTATTCAGCTTCGGTGGCCCGATGTAGCAGGCCCTCTTTCCGTCTGTTGCCATCAGAGTCTATGCGTTGTCCTATGGCTTTGGTGTTTGGCCGCAAGAACTTCCTGCCTGAAACCTCAGGTGAGTTTAGAGAGCAAGCCGCCCTTTGCGAAAGTTCTGTGCCTGAGGTTGGCGGGATGCTGTACTACATCGGCAGGTGCAACATGTCCGGGGATCTATGGAGGTATGTTTCTCCTTACACATGCTCTTCAAAGCTTGCCAGCAGCAGCACGTCGTCGCCGTTCTCCAGTCTAGGGATGGTGGGGGCTGTAGTTGTCATGGCGGTGCTGCTTGTTGTGCTGTCGCAGCATGAGCAGTAGAGCAGAGCAGCAGCAGAAGTAGTAGTCGTAGTCGCCGTAGCATCTGCCATAGTCGCAGAAATCGGAGCAGTCGTCGTAGCAATCGCAGCAGTCGTGTCAGGAAATCTAGCACTAGGACCATCAACATCGCAACCATCTTGTGGCTTTGGCAGTCTTCTTTGTAGTCTACATGTTTTTTCGAGGCCGCTGCCTTACACTGTGGCAGCGATCTTCGCCTTCGCCATGGCCGTCTTCTACATCTCCTTGCCCCCTTCTGCCCCGACCCCGACAGGGTGTTTTGGGCTTCGTGCGGCCTTGGCAGGACTTCGGCACCCCCGAGGCTGTAGTGGCTCGGCTGTTGCCGCGTGATTTGGCGCCGACATTCCAAGAAGCGACCTTCACAAGGGCTGTGAAGTCCATGCATACCGCTTTTGCCTTCAGCCGAAGCCTTCAAAGAGCTGTCTATGGCAGTGCAACAAGCAAGGTCAGCAAGCAGGATATGCCAGTGCCTCAGTAGTCCTCAAAGCGGAATGCTTCAGAAGTCCTTGGCTAATCGGTCATTTGCAGAGCCCACCGCTAGAGCCAAAGCTACCCGTAGTTGGATGATAGCCGAGCTGGGTGGCGGGCCGGCATACACGCTAGGAATGTGACAGTAAAGTCTGCACAATCAGCGACGCAGGTCGGTCACACCCTGCTTGGAATTGACGGTAGTGTTTTTGGCCACAGGTGTCGTCAGCACTCCCTTGAATGAACTGCGAGCATCAGCACAAGTATCCTGCTCGCACTCCTACAGTCAAAAGGGAAACACATTTGGACAATACGAAAGCATTTTCGTTAAGAAAAAATCCTGGTACAACCCACCGGCCACGCCGTAGTACTGAATGTCCTCCTAATCGCCCGAATGCTTGACGAAAAGTGGCGATGAGGTCCGAGGAGCTAAAGCCGCTGATGACGCCCAAAGTCAAGGTGGCTTGGTGCCCGCACTCGTGCAGTTCTGACAAAGGCCTGCTAGGACGCCCGACGCCCATGATTCCCACCGGCCCGTGTTTGTGTGGCTGAGGCAGAGGCATGCACAGTAGAGGCTGTTCTCCTAAATTTGCCTGATGCTTGGGCTCCGACTCCCCCTTCATCCAGACCTCGCAAGGTTCTTATCTGTTTCTGTGTTCAAGCAAGCTTCAGGTGACCCAGCCTCTCTAGCTGAGCTGTTAACTGCGCCTCCCCGCGAGGCTGAGACAGAAGAAGCGGAAGTGAAAGCTCCCCTGCATCACGTGCAGTCGTCTGCCCTGCCGCTGTCGATGTATGCACGGGCCGTGGAAGACTAGGCCTTCCCGTTGCAAGCAATGTAGATGCCAAGAACCTACGGGGCCAACCGTGGGGTTGTGTCGGGAGCCAGTTGCAGCTTCTTTCGTGAGATAAATGCCTGCATCCCTGCATCCACACACTTGCTGTCATTGCATGGCTGTTCGCGGCTTGCATCCTCCAGTCAAGATACTGTGTATTCCACATGCAGTAGTCACCTTTGCAAGTGCAACATGCATTTCCATTTCTCGTTTCTTGACACTCCGTGGGCACCATTTCGTGCAATTTCCATTGCGTGGACACATCCGACACTACTCGTAGCTTCTCTCTGTCCACACAGCTACTTAGATCCTACAGGTGTTGCTTTGCATAGTCTTCAGCCCTCAAAAGTACGAACCGTGAGGCTGGGCAAACACTTCATTCTCTGGGTTCGGGGTCACTGAGGCCGGAAAGCACTACTCGTCACAGTGCCTCCTGAATCAGCTCAGGCGCGATTGGAACGAAGAGTCTTCCGAACTTGCCGCACTTTTGAGTCTCATGCTGGCTTCCCGTCGCAGTGGGATGACTAGTGCCGAGCACTGTCTGGAGCGTAGCGGAGGGAGTCACTGCAGGATGAAATATTACCGGCACGTCAGCTAGTAGGAGCTCATGCCATCAAGCAGATCTCGCCTTCAGAGATTCCAAACTTTGCAGTCTTGCATGGTATTGGTCTTTTGCACATTGTGCGCAGTTTGGTCATGGACCCCGAGCTGCGGGAGCTTTACAACATAACGGTGGATCGGATTGAGAAGGCTGGGCTCCTTCAAAGTGCATCTGCTGGGAAGCCGGCCGCAAGCGAGTGATCTTGCAGTTGATTTCAGTAAGGGCTGCTTCTCAGTTGCTCCAGCAGTGAGCCGCAACTCTGGAACATGCCACGGCATTATCGTGCTGTCTTTCAGGAGAAGGGCACCGTCGAGGGCACCAGTGGCATTCGTTCAGTTGCCACAGTTTGCAGTGGGCTTTCGGCACCTGGGGCTGCATGGCCAATTTTGTGTTTGCTAGAATCCTGAACGAACGAAGGTAAAGAGGGAGCTGGGTTCAGGAGGGTACTTAGCTGCTTCCGCGGCATTCTTCCTTCCAGCCTGGTGCTTGTGCTGTTCCGCTGTCGGGCAACCACACGACAAGCACAGTGCTTCAAGTTCCTCGGCCTCTGTTTGCCCAGCCAGGCAAAGTTTAGCTCACGGCTTTCAAAAACACACAGACCCTTGCATGGATTCCACAGAAGACAGTGATGGCCAAGCGCCCTAAGCGCGGGTGCCTCTGAGGCCCGAACGCAGCTGAACCAGATGAACCGGAGCCTCGGCGAGGCGAGTGGCTACCAACCTCCTGTGGAAATGCAGGGCAAGAGGGCAAAAGGCCACAGCCACAGTTTATATCTAGGTGTTCCATTGGTGTTGGTTGGAAGGAGAACTGCCGACACGGGTACTCTGACAGGCCATGCATGAGTACGTGCTTACGAGCGCACCGGCGTTCCAAGAAAGCTGCTTGGGTGCATGCATGCATGCATGCAT